GTAATTGAATTGGAAATAAGAATCATAATTGCAGCATATCTAATAAACAATATCAATATGACGATAAAATTCATGAGTCGACCTCACTTCTCAATGAAATAAAATAAAATAAATACTGAAAAAGTCAGCACTAAAAAAATGTATACAAAAAAAATCTTACAATTCTTCACACAACTCCTTGATCTTTGATATTACCAATTTACGTTCTTGCATTGCTGCTCTTTTACAGCTATTTTGAGCTTCTTCTTCTATAGCTTTTCCAACGATACTTTCATAACGTTTATATAAATCATTGGTCACATTTGGACATTCTAAACAAGCCAAAATTTTATTCAGAGCTGTCTGACCAACGCCTGAATGCACAGCTCCTAAAACCAATATTTTGAAAATCATGAAATATGTTAATAACTATTAACTACCAATTTGATTTTTACATTGCTTTAGAACAATAATTAATTCTAAAAATTACCAAGGACCAACGACATATTTACGTTTGAAATACTATTATCCAATTTTGCAGTGTGCACTGTTGTGCTGTTTTCACATTTTTTACACTCGATTGTTAAAACAGATTGGACTCCGATGAACTTTTCTCCAACAATGTTTTGTAAACTCAAAATATCTTGACACTTGGAACATTTTAGATTTTTTGCTAACACGTTCTACTCTATTATGCGTATGCCTTTACAATCGAGATACTTTTTTTCAACCGACTCTAGGACTTTCTTTTTCTTCGCTTCTGTCATAGTTTGATAAGCTTTAGCGTTTTTAATTGCTACTTTTTTCTTCACAAATCTACCGTTTTTTAAATTTCTTACTTTATTTGGCATTTCTGTTGTCGTATACATAACCTGATTGTAAATGTAAACACAAGTAGAAAGTCTCTATACTCGCCTCGCGGCACCTAACTCTAACGGCCAGAGTACATATATATATATAAAGATCGGTGGCGATATGTTGCAGTGTCGCTAAGTTTCTTATGTGTCTGCGCATTGTCTACTCATGCAACGAAAAAGAGATTCTCAACTTACATCAATTTTGATTGAGAATCACTGGTCCGTGAGATCGTCCTCAAACTAATGTATGAACCTATGTTTAGGTAGGTAGTAGTATGTATACTCTTATATAAACTCTTCGCCGTGTATTATTGTTCTTTCTCGTTCTTGTTGTATGTACGTTAATAAAAAAAAAATATAAACATGATTTGCTTTTTCCTGAATGTATTGTATTGTATTGTAACTTTATCAAGGCCTTGTAATTAAAACATGTTCAGCCCTTAAAAAATTAGTACAGTAAATATATTTTGAACAGGTGAAAAATTAACATGTTTATCTTACGAGTAAGAATGCGAGTATAGGTATAATTAAGATAGTAAAAAATAATCGCATTTGCAGATAATAAAATATAAAGAAGAATTAAATATTACATTATAAGAATACGAAAGAATAATAAAAAAATAACCAAAAAAAAAATGCAAGAGTAATAACGATTGTATTTACAATAAAAGTTCAATCACGCAGTATCCAAATCAACTAAAACGTGGTTAGAAACTTGAAAAATTTTCATCGCTTACTATGTTATTGAAACTATACCTATAATAACAACTGTTTTAATTTTTATTATAATGAAAAATAAACATAATTTTGACTTAAAACTAATTTTATACAATCAAAAAACAACAGGTTCCAGACCCGAGTTGACTCTTTCCTTATTTATTAATGCATGCCAAAGTGTACTTTTGAAAGAGTTTATAAGAGTAGGGTTAAAGGTAAGGAAACCAAGCTAGCTTAGAAAGTAGGTTGCCTGGATCACGAAAGACTGACGATAAGTCTCAGTTCTAAAGAAGAGACAAGTGGGCTTTTAGGCGGAATTCTGACTGATCTGCGCAGTACATTGCTGTCACTTACTTGAATAAATTGACTTGAGATATACAGCGGTCGGTTTCGAGAAAAAGCAAAAGATCCAAGAAAGTAATTCCGTCTACTGACCACATCCAGCCAACCGAGAGCCAAGCGATATGAAGTAAAGCGCTCAAAGCGAGGCAGATTCCCATAGACAAGTATCTAATCTGTAATATTCACTGATAAAATTACATATTCGTAAACAAACTGTCTTTTTAATAAAAAAGTATGAAATGAAGATTATTTAAAGCCAAAAAAATAAACACTTTTCTTACCTCGCGCGTTTTTAAGAGGCTAGTGTGCGCTTGGTAGAAAAAATAGGATTTACTACATAAGCGTTATTGCTCCGTGGCTGCTCTACGTCCCTCGGGCCCTGTTTCGCAGGTCCCTCAAGCCGCCAAATAGGCCTGGAGACGATGGCACTTAGTGGTGGTTCAGTAGAGGAGCGTCTCCGGCAGCTATTACGTCAGGTCTCACTTGAGGGAAAACCTTCCCTAATTTTGAATCGTATGCGTGACTTGGAAACTGGATATGGGGACGATATCCTCAGAACAGTTTTTCTTGAGCAGCTTACCCCCAGTTGTTGCGCTGCCCTGTCTATCCGTAACATTACCTCGTTAAGATTATTAACAGAGGCGGTTGGTTTTTACGCCTCGGCACTACCCAACAGTTCGCATGTTTTTTCGGTAAGAAATAAGACCACCATAGACAAACAGGAAGTTTCCTTTTCCGATAGCAATGCCTTTGCCTTCCTTGAAAAACTTCCTCATAATATTGATGACCTCAAAATCCAAACGGACGAACTCATGGAAGTTGGTTGTCTCGATCGCAGCCGATCCCGGTCCCGTCATTGCAAAACAATCATCACTCTTGCAGCAAAAGGATTAACAGAAACTCCCAGAACATAAGTCAGAGTAACAACCAAAATGACTATTTTGACAAAAACCTTTGTTTTTACCACAACAGATTTGGCGACAGGGTGTTCCGCTGCCAAGGCAACTGCTTCTGAAAGTTAAAGTATACAGAAAACTGAACTCCTCTCGGTGGAAGCTGCGAGTAAGGTTTCAGAGGAATTAAAACGCTTCCACGTTCGTGATGTCTTTTCGGATTTTCCCTTTCTAGTCGACAAGGGAGCAGCGATTTCATTGCTTCCCAAGACTAATCCAATCGCTAAGCCCTCGAACTTTAAACTTTTTGATGCCAATGACACTGTCATACACACTTACGGTGAAATCGACCTTTCTCTAAATCTTTGCTTAAAATGTCATTACCCCTCGAAATTTCATTATGCTGATGTTCCAAGCCCAATTCTTGGCGCCAACTTCCTAAGTTCTTTTTGTCTTATAGTTGACGTTCGAAGATACAAAGATCATCGATCCATACTCAAACACGTACTCGATTGGTTGTTTTAAAGTCGCTGACTGTATTTTGTCATACACTGTTGTCAGTCCTACCTCAGTGTACTCTCAATTTCTCTTCGAATTTCCTGAGGTCACTGGCGAAAAGCCAACAACTCCAGTTGTACTAAAAGATATTTTTCACTACATTGAAACGACTTGTCCTCTAGTCACGGAGCGCCTTAGACACCTGGACCCAGAAAAATTTAGAGCAGCACGAAAAGAATTTGAAAACCTTGTCCGACAGGGCACTTTTAGGTACTCTAAGAGTCCTGGGCTAGCCCAATTTACATAATTAAAAAAAGGACAGGATACGGCGCATTTGTGACAACTACTGCCATCTCAATGTTGGCACGACTCCTGACAAATTCCCAATCTCTTACTTACACGACTATTTAGCTCTTCTGCAAGAAAAAAAAGTTTTTTCCAAGCTCAATCTACACAAAGCGTACCACCAAATACCTGTTGCACCAACAGATATCATCAAGACAGCGGTGACAACATCGTTCGGTCTTTTCGAGTATTTGTTCATACCTTTCGGTCTTACCAGCGCCCCGCAGTATTTCCACAGGTACATCAATCAGGCACTCGCCAATCTAGAATTTACCTTTGTCTATTTGGACGACATTTTGCAAGCATGCAAGTGCCTCTTTATGCTTACACTCTCAATTCAAAAAAGAATGATCAGAGGGTCGTCGACTGGTCCACTGAGGATTTCCAAGTATTTGAGAAGAACAAAAGTGACCAAGTTAGTGCTTGCATCCTTGCTCATTCCTCTATAAATGCTCCAACGTGTATCATTAGTGGTGCGTCAGATTTCACTATGGGTGCAGCCCTCGAGCAATTGATCAACCGAATCTGGAAACCTGTAGTCCTTTTCTCCCAAAAGTTCTCGCCTTCACTGCTCAAATACAGTGCGTACGATCGAGAAGTCACAGCCATTTATGAAGATCAGACATTTCAAGTTTTTTTTTGGAATGCCGACACTTTAAGATTGTCACTGGTCACAAACCGCTAATTTTTGCGTTTCAGCAAAAGGCTGACAAAGCTTTGCCTAGTCAACGTCGTCAACTGTGCTTCATTTCTCAGTACTTGACTGATATTTAACACTAACCTGGTTCAGAAAATGTTGCGGCTGATGCATTGTGTTGAATAGAGACAACTAGTATTCCTGCTGACACTCAGAATCTTCCTGGCTCTACTACCTCCATAGAAGCCCCTACCTGAGTCGATATGATTCGTTTGCTAACAGACATAGCAATGCCTGAACTCATTCAGCACCAACAAGATGATGTCGAACTCAAATCACTTCTTGAGTCAACTAAATGCTCACTGAACTTTAAAAGTATAGAATTGGGCCATAACCACCTACGACTTTTCTGTGATTTGACAAGAAATATTTTACGCCCTTACATTCCCGTAACTCTGTGCACACGCATCTTCGACCTGCTCCTCTCACCTTCTCATCCATGCCCTGAGGTCATTGATCAGATGATTAGACAACGCTATGTCTGGCCTCAATTCACCGTGACATCAAAAGTTGGTATCAGGGATGCCTCGATTGTCAGCAGTCAAAAGTTTCACGTTACGTCATAAACGAGCCTAGTTGATTCGTTACTCCCGATGACAGGTTTCGACATATTCACATGGATATTTTGGCTCCTCGAAGACTTGTGACGACTACTCTTATGTTCTCACAATGATGGATCGTTTTTCTTGCTGGGTAGAAGTTGTCCCAATCAAGGACATTCAAGCCACCACAGTCCTTTGTACTTTCCAAGAAGCTTTGGTCATCCGTTTCGGTGCTCCTAGATTCATTGCTACTGATCAACGCTCACAATTTAAATGTGCCATTTTCAAGGCCTACTTTTCCTTCGCAGGCTGCCAAAGAAAAAGAACTGTACCTTACCACCCTGCTGCCAACGACCTCATTGAGCGCTGGCACTGTAGCTTCAAAGCTGCTCTCATGTGCCACAACAGTCCTAACTGGGTAAAACTTTTACCAATAGTTCTTCTAGGACTTCACACTGCCGTTCGAAGTGACAGAGGAGCTTCACCAGCTGAATTTTTATACGGCACAATTCTTCGTTTCCCAGGCGAATATTTTGTCCCTCATGACTTCTTTGCGAATCCTCGAATCTTCATTGAAAACTATCGTCAACACATGAGGGAACTTAAACCTACGCCGGTAGAACATCACCACTAGCCACATCCCTTCTTTTTCAAAGATCTTCGTTCTTGCTCTCGTGTCTTCCACCGTTCTCATACGACAAAATCACTCGAGCTATCTTACTCTGGTCCCTACAAAGTGATAGAATGGATTTCTGATTTTGATTACAAAATTGACATAAATGGAACTCCTAAAGTTGTTTCGTATTTTGTGAAAAAAAAAAAAAAATTCCGAGTAGCCTTTTTTTTATTTAAATTTTTTTATTCGTCTTCAAAATATAGAATCTTTCCTTTTAATAGAAAATTCTAAATTTCTGACCCTCACTAATGGTAGAGATATTTAATAAAAAATCTAAAAAATTTACAGTTATGTTTTCTCATAGAGTAATTTCGATCCCCAGAGCAATAAAAAAAGAAGAAAAAAAAACGCAGTGGATAGTGGGTGCTTGGGTACCTAAGTATAAAGTTATATTCAATTGAGTTATATGGCAGATAATACAATTATGAGTATAAAAATACCTTCTGAGAAACAATATTATCTATGAAGGTGGTGCAATTATTGTTGAAATGAATATATATTGTGATGTGTCGTGCCTTGCTCACCTTGCAGTCAGAAGCAAGACACGGCACGTATAAAATTATTCTTTATTATGACTTACTATAGGGCTAAGCGGATAGGAGAGGTAGCTGGAAATCAGTATACATCTAAGCATTTATTTGAATTTATTAATAACTCAGAACTTATTAGTATTTCTATACAACGTTTACTCTGCCCGACTATCCGACTTGGCCTGACTCTATACAACCTCAGCCCTGCAGGTGCAGGTTCGGCAGTTGCTGCTCGGCACAATGCTTGTCTACGGTAGGGACGGGATAAATAGGAAATAGGCCTACCGTTCTTTTGTTACAGCAGGGGTCTCTCTGTAGCTCTATCTTCGGGCACCGGGAGGTCCGACGAGCAGGGGTTGGCACTCGAACCCAGCAGTCCTTGACAGCGTGTGTGTGAAGGTCGTAGCGACAATCCGGGTAGCCAATAGGTAGCCGTTGTTGTTCGTCTCCGGTGGCCGCTCAGTACAGCACACAGTCGTATCTTGCACACACACCCGTAGAACTATATAATGTTGCGAAGCCCTCGGATTATACGTCCCGGCGGGAAGCAGACAAGACGGAGAGTGCCTTTCTTGTCGCCCTGCCAATTCGTGCTCCCTGATACTGTAGCTATCTGCCTGTGTATGCGTCGGTGCGCACACTCACCCGCCGCTGCACACAGTCAAGGGCTGGCAGTGCTGCCTATATTAGGGATAAGTGAAGGGATAGGTCGGGACAAGGGCCGTGTGTGGAGTAGTGTTGGTGTGCTTAGTGCCGCCTCTCCTCTTGTCTGCTATTATGACGTACCCTAGAAGTATAACTACAAAAAATTTTCTGTCTTATTTCACGTGAAATGCCGCACGCACGCGCGTGTGTGTGTTGCTCAAAGATGACTTTTATGGACATTATAGTCCATGGACCGAAGGATTTTCCAATCTTATATTTTCTAGTAGAGAGGAAATTGTTCATTCCCCTACAGAATTTACCCAAGAATACGAAAGTAGTTTTGTCTGAATCGAAAATTGGATTCATTTCTTTATTCAACAATTTATAAAAAAATGCCAATGTTTTATTTATTTTTTTGCTTATATCTCCGCTTCTATTGCTCTTAGAAAAATTTTTTACCACGAATGTCTTCATCATTAAACTTTTTATAAAATAGATACTTTTGCAATTACATTATTTACTGTTAATAACATGGTAATAGCAAAAAAAAAACAGAAAAAAGTTTTTTATACCGAAAAACTCTCGATCAATGTAAAAAAACAATTATCTTAACATAACTGCAAAAAACATGGAAATTAAGTTGCATAACAAATAGCTATTTGTAAAATTGCGAAATAGTTGTTAGTTTTTTGTTAATTTTTTTTCAAAGTGAAACTTTGAAGTGTCATTACAGACTTCACGGTCGGTTTATCGATATTTTGCTTCGATGAAAATATTGTACTGAATTTTAGTAATAACAAATATAAAAAAATTGATTTTTGTGAATTTTGACGTTTTGCCCCCAAGAATTCTCATTTTTCAACTTAAACAATTGCAAATATCTCAGTCAATTTTGTATACTTTCTTTCGCAACCAATGTCATTGCATATATTACATCCCGAGTTAATACGAATTATATTATAACTAAAAGCTATCCGCTCGTCAAATTCAGATAAGACGTATTGTGAATACAAAGCAAGCTCATATGACAAGAGGAGCTCGTACGTCGCTTATGTGTGAGCGTGTGTGTATTAGCTTTAAGTAGAATGCTTCATAATATGCTGACATAGAATACGGCTATAACAGGGCTTGTAACAGGGGCTATACACATACATACATTCACACATTCATACGTACACACATAAATGCATACAGTTCGTATATAGTCAATAATACTGGTCATTTCAAAGCTAAATTAAGTAGAGGCGAATTATTCAAATTTAACATGTCATTCAATAAGATATTAGAGTCTTTTAATTTATTAATTTCTAGTGCTTCTAATGCATCTAATTTTAATCCTTTGTTACATGTGTGTAAAATCTTAAAATTGTTATTGTAAATATGATTACATTTAAGAATGTGATTGGCATAACTAGAAGTATCTAGTTGTTTTTCGTAGGCATTTTCGTGTTCCTTGAGTCTGAACTTGAAAGCTCTACCTGTCTGTCCTCTATATTTCTTATCACAAGAACCACAACTAAGTTCGTAAAT